GCCCCGTGCTCTCGGGTGGCAACCCGGCGCCCCACAAGATTCAGGGCATTGGCGCTGGCTTCGTGCCGCGAGTGCTGGAGCGTGACCTGATCGACGAAGTTATCACGGCCAGCAGTCCGGACGCCTTCGCCATGGCCAAGCGCCTGGCTCTGGAGGAGGGAATCCTCGTTGGTCCGTCGTCCGGTGCCGCGGTGGTGGCCAGTCTGGAGCTGGCCAAGCGCCCGGAGAACAAGGACAAGCTCATCGTGACGATCTTGCCCAGCTTCGGTGAACGCTACCTGTCGTCGCCTCTTTTCGAGAAGGAGCGCGAGTTCGCTGCCAACCTGCCCACGTCTGAGCTGCCTTAGGTTTGATCGTGTGCTTTAGCGTAAGTTGTCGATCCTATAGTCAGGATGGCACGAGTCTCCGTGGCCTGCTAGTCAGGGCCGTAACAAATATAGTCACCTCCTAACTGCATTGTGTCTGGGGCCACGTTGACGTACGTGTCGGCCACCATAGAAACGAGCTGGCCACGACCTGGCCAAACGCTGGCCGTGTCTTGTTGGCATCTTAATTAAAATAATAACGTTGCACTTGAGTCTAGCTGTCTGTGCCTTATCCGGGCGTTGGCTCCTTCGCGGACGCGGCCAAGTAGTTAGCACGGGCGCGGCCTCGCTCGGCCTGAAACTTGCGTAGTTGACGCAGGTAGTGGAACTCCCTCAGCATTGCGTTGGCCTCGGCGTAGTCGCTGCGCACCGATCTGGCCCTCGGGGTCTCCATATCCGTGTCCATGGCCGTAGCCTCGCCAGCCCACCGCACACCGTGAGCGCCATCGTAATTGTAGGCCACACGCAGCCGCTTCATGTCGCCCTCGATGGCCTTTCCGCCCTCCGAGCTGCTGTCGGGTGGATCCGTGGACGCGTCGCTCTCGTACGGGGCCTCACGCTTCCGGCTCATGCTGGAGAAAAGTAATGAAAAGAGAGCAAAAAAATGTGATTTTGATTAAATTTGTGAGTGGTCCAAAGGATTTTTTTAGATAGAAATAAGAAGCTTTATTTTTTTTTTTTAAAAATCTAACTATCGTACAAATTCGCAGGTCGACCTGTTTAAAACCTAACCCTATGGTAACAAAAAAAACTATGGACTATACCTCCTACTGGTACTCTGCGGTAAAAAAAACGTTTGGTGTTTAGCAGTGCTAAACACCAAACGTTTTTTTTTCTTGGAATGGAACATGGTTGTCACTTAGCTTTAGGTAGCTAATCCCCATATTGTCTGGAAGATAGCAGATACGTGCTCAAATAAAACCAAGTGCTCGTGTAAAGGTTTCCCATTTAATCGATGAGTGCTAGGCCGATCGATCTTGTCGTCAGTTCATTTGACGCCGAGCACAACGGTTGTACCGACTCCACAACGCGATGACCAACCAGATCGCTAGGACGAGCCAAGCTCGCACTGCAACGCTAAGCATATTGAGTTGTCCAAGACGAAAATGTCAACTAATGAGATTGTAGTCGCTCTTGTCTCCACCGTCAAAGAAAGGCGCCGCAAAATGAAGTGGATGCGGATCCATGGAGAACTCGTGGTTCTTTTTCTTCTAAGTCTTGCCTTTGTGAAAGTGACACGTGCGGCAAGCCGTAAGGTCGACGTACAAACCAAGACACACGTAAGTCTATTTGGTTAATACAACGTAATATCTACATTGAAACAATCTCGCCAATGCTCGTCGTTTCTTCTTATTGTCGCTACGTTGAACCAGAATAGTGATATAGTACCATAGTGGCAAACATGTTTGCCATAGTACCAGGATCTGGCGTTTGATCCTCGATAGTACCAGGGTTTGTCAATTTCCCGATTCGCGTTACGTACATGTATTGCGATAGCTGTTCGGGATAAATTAGAAATTAGCCTAAGTATTTTTTTGTACAGACGATTCCCTCGGTGGTAATCCCTAGGCTTGGAATTCTCCCTCAACAGCAATAAATTAGCGGTTCCCGTTGACGAGTAACATGCAAACCCAATATATTATTCCTCTCACCCCTCAATCGTAAAATGTAATACATCTTGTGATATTATTATGATCTGCTAGTAGGGAGTGTGATACCTGAATATCATAAATGCCTGAAATGTGACGGGGCGACACAGCACCTTGCGCTGAGGAAGTAGGTTTCCAAGAGTATACACACTCTTAAGTGAACGACCGTTTACGTGTCCCTGGTCTGAAGGGACGAAGTACTCAGTTAACCCTTTGGGACCTGAACTGTTCTTAGAGGCCCGCTGAAGACCTTCACGTCACCCAATCAGATCTTTGTTTGCTAGCAACTATCAAATCAGAGCAAGCCTCGAGGCCACGTGTGAGGCCTACGGGAGATGGGTGGGGAGGGGGGACATTGCCAAAATGAGCGATAGCGACAGCGACAGCAGCTCGGACATGTGCGGGCTCTGTGGAGGGACACCATGCGACTGGGAAGCTATGCGGGCGGTGCTAATTGAGCACGGCGATAAGATGAGCAATGACGTTGACGGAGAGGACAGGAAAAAGGTTCGGCGAGCCATGTGCCAGCTCTACGTGTACCTAAAGTTTGGCAGTCTGGTCAAAGCGCGCGTCGTGCGTGCTCCAGAGTGTGTCATCAAGGTGATTAGAGCGTGCTAGCACGATTAGATCACTAGTGCAAGTGCTCAATTGTATTTCAACGCAGGTGTCGCCATGATCGACTAACTTGCTGAAAGAATTCTCGCTCTCTTTTGGTGTCTAGGTGATGGCTCTTTCAGCAACAATTGAGGCAGCTCAATCTCATGTGGATCAATAATACTTGAGTTCTGGCGCTGTCTGGTGTTGGTTTTGGGCATTCCACTTGCTGTACGTATCACAGCGTCAAGTGCCTCCATAACGACAGTGTTTTCAGTCATCACGTGTTTATAATGCATCGCCATGAAGCACTCGACGTGATACCCGAGACGGCAGCGAGTGCACGCGTATTTGACACGATTCTTTCCACCACGGAGTGCGCATAAGCGACATAGTAGCTTACTGCGACTTCGAGTTAGCATGTGCTGAGAAGAATCGCTTCCAATAATGTCTTCAATTGGCTCTCGGTGAGTCGCCCGTCTCCGAAGTGACTGCATGTACTGCTGTTGTGCTGCTACTAGCCTATTGACAATTACTTCCTTTGCCGCTCGAATTGATTTGATTTCACCATTCCCATGCTCGATAACTTGATACATTGCGAAGGCGTTGTGGATTGCAACGTCAAGAAGCCATGTGAAAATACTCATGTTTAGGCGACGCTCCCGCCGACGTGTCGGATTGGTGCTGCGCATTTGATCAAACCGATCAACAGCATTCATGAAGACATTGTATGCACAGACCTGAACTGGGGCCCGGATTGCGGTCCGACGAAACATTTCCTGCCCAGTCCACCTTTGAACAAAGCCCATGCCGTGGCAGCA